AGAAAAAATGTTTCCAAATACAGAAAAAATCTGTTTTGAGTTTTACTAATGACCAGCATTATGTGTATGCTGTAGATCTTTTTATATTTTCTAAGTGCTGTTTATTCCTTTATCGTCCCCTTAGCTTACTTTCACTAAGCTATTAAAACTCGACACCATGCAGCAACTCTCTCCCGTCCCTGTATAGAAATACTCTTTAAACTTTTGCCTTCAAAAGGCTGTAGTGTCTAGTAGACAAATTTGTAGAATTGTTTGTAGGACTTCTTTATAAACTTCCCTGTCCTGGTTTATACTTTATACTAATCTCTCTCTCCAAACATACTTCTGCGATCCAGATCACCTACCATACTAGATATATTTTTTAATTTTCTTTTATAGATAGTGATCTTGGAACTAGTAGAATGATAGATATAACATTTAAGAAATAAAAATATGAAAATTGTAATAGGACAAGGAATTCAGAACAATGCTAAGATCAAATCTTGTTGATCTGTTGGATCCAGAACAAATTTATTTTACCGATCTTCTGAATATATAGGCTTTCTTTGTGTTCAGAATCTCATTAGAGATGGGAAATTTCATTCTCTTGTAAAGAGTGTACAACAGGCATGGGCCTACTCTATTCTTACAACTATAACTGCCTAGTCATTCTGTCTGCTCTATACTCAAGGTTGACACATATCTCCTGAAGACAAGCCTGGTTCTAGAATATTAGAAATGGATTTGAAAAAAAGGATATCCCGTTCGTAAGTCTGGCGATTAAATTCTGCAAAGCACTATTAATTTTCATGTGCAGAAATTGTCAAGAAATTCTGCATCTTCTTTTACTTCTCAAACAGTCGCCAAAAGAAACACATACTTGATGGCGTCTCTGAGGTTCTTCCAGACCTAGTATAAAATGCCATTCTACCCAGCTAGTAACACTGAATAAGGGAGAGTACTCTTTGTATATATAATTGGATGTGTGAATGAAATGATGAAATGGTTTTGTGATTTAATTGCAAACAGATGGTGTTGTGTATATACTTAATATGGTATAAGTGCTATTACTAATATGGCATATTTTTTAATTATATATAAATATATATATTATGTATGACTGTATGTAATTATGGCCCTTATATAAACATCCATGAGTGTCAAACATACTAAAGAACTTGATTCTCTTTTCTCAACAGTGCTCTTGAAAAAAAAATGGTATTAAAATCTGTGTCCATTTCATCCATTTAATTATATAAATATAATTGACATATCTAGAATCAATAATTTGGAATTCAATTTGCTCACATGCTGAAAATTGATCAATAAACTACAGAACATATGACATTTTGTTAAAACATCTTTCAGTGGTTAGTTGATGTAAGAGATTGCCAGCTTACAAGATTTTGAGAGAAGAAAAACAGGTTCTCTGACACTTGGCCTTTTGTGTATGTAGCATATAGAGCTTCCCAGTGACCGTGTATTTTGTATACATAGGTATGATGTCTTGATTCCAACTATTTATTATTAAAATACTTTTTAAATATGTGTTTAAACTAAAATTGATGAACTTAAACCAAAGAAATACTAGGATTTATACCCTAGTACCAGTTATAATTGTAAATTGTCTTCCCACCGTCTCCTACTTATGTTATGTGTCGTGCTACCTGCTTTACTTAGGACAACAAAACTTGTTATTATATTGCAGCGGCCATTTTATCGGTCGTGGGGTAGTGACACTTTGTTAGACAGCCCATGTATGTGTTCAGCTACTATATATTTGCTGAGCTTTTCTTTTTTTTTTTAATTTGGCCAAACTTTGGCCACAAATATGTATTTTACTGCCATTTATGTATGTGTTCAGTCTCCAGATACAATTTTTTTTTTTTTTTGCTTTCTGCTGGCTTTTTTATGAGAACTTTTTTTTTTTTTAATTTACTCTGGGATATTTATCCTGTTCTTGTCTTACCAGCAAGGAAACCTTTTTTTCTGGCATTCCTGTGTTCTTCCAACTTGTTTTGCAATTCTGTTGTTATGCAACAAATCTTGCAGTTTGTTTATGAAATGCATATAAAACTAGGTAGTTTATTGTAAGTAACTGTTACCAGAAATAAACACTGATGTGTATATTCTACATCTGACATTAAAATTATCAGATATTTGGCCATGAAATCATCTTGAGACATTTTTACATAAACTGTTAAGAATTTTTTTAATGAAAGAAAATTTAAAAAATTTAATTCAAGGTAAAAATAACAAAAGAAATATATATATTTTCATTAGAAGTAATTTATATTGATTTATACTTTGTCCAAAAGTTTAACAAACAGAAATTATCATGGCTGGTTTTGTTGGACAGATGATAAGGATTCGAATGTGCAAAATTTAAGTGATGTTGTGTATTTGGTGCCTGAACTATTAGCATAAGAAAGCTGATTTATTGAACTATGCGATGAACCCCCTGTCTGGATGTTTAGTATATGCAAACGTGTTGTTAGTGGCAGTCCACGGGACCAAAGTACAGTAATCTTATATTGCCTTAGAATGATTCTCTCTTTCCATACATGTTTTGGCGTATAATTGGTGTTCTATTTATTATCTCTAAGAGGAACTTGTGTCCATCTCCAATACATTCCATACATATGTATAAAGTTATAGTATTTTTGAGAATTTGTTATCAGATTATATATGTTGATGTAACATATCGTGTACTGTTGAGAGCCACTGTTGCTAAGTGGAGAGCCACTGTTGCTAAGGTGGCATAGTCTGTTGCTTGGAATAAGTGCCATATTCATTTGATGAGAAAGAAGGGGGTTCAATTCATTTTCTGTAACGTATTTTAACAAAGATTCCATACTGAAACCAAGATTCTGTTTATCCAGTTTTATTAATTTATTTTTTTCTTATTACCAAACAATGTAGGAGTTGTCCCCCTTCGTGCTAAGTGTGCTCCAGAAGGAGAAAAGATAATTTTTTGAAAAATGAAAAGCTTCCATTTTAAGAGAAAGAAAAAAAAATGCAAAATATTGTTTCAAAATATTCTATGTTTATTATGTTTATTGTGCTCACTTAAATATAATTTGTGTAAAACAAATTTTTGTTGTCGCTTCTACCTCAGTTGCATGTGGTAGGTAAAATGTGCAGAGTCGAGCTACTTTGCCAAGCTACTGCCTTACCTTAGTTCAATTATGTTTTCATTTTTATAGTGTTCAACAGCATTTCTTTATTTTTTACAATATTATAAAACTAACAGGTCACTTACAAAACAAAAAGTGACTAGTTTGTACATGTCCACTACAAAAGACTCAGCCCAGCGAAGTATTTTTGTCCTGTAAACATTGGTAGTGTTAGATATATTGTGTCATTAGAGTGCTTACTGTGGTTTTGTATGTTATTGCGAAATGAATGCGCATGTCCATTGTTTTAGAAGTCTACTTATTGTAGCTAGCAAACTAAAATAAAGCAATAATTAAGATATTTGGCGTTATTTTAGTATTTTCCCTTCAAGTTTGGCTTAGAAAGATCTGTGTGTGATCTACATTATCTTGTTATGAAGTAAGAAACCAGTCATTTGAATCTTTCTCTGTAATTGTATCTTTAATTGGACAGAAAAAACCTTAAGTATGTTTAATTGGACAAAAAATCATGTAGTATCTCTGATTGGACAAAAAAATCGTGCAATGTCACTGATTGGACAGAAAAATAATAGAATATTTTCAGTTGGACTGTAAAAACATGAAGTATGTTTAATTGGACAGGAAAATCATGCAGTATCACTGATTGGACAGAAAAATCATATAGTATCACTGATTGGACAGAAAAATCATGTAGTATCACTGATTGGACAGAAAAATCATGTAGTATCACTGATTGGACAGAAAAATCATGTAGTATCACTGATTGGACAGAAAAATCATGTAGTATCACTGATTGGACTGAAAAATAATGGAGTATCTTCAATTGGACTGAAAAAACACGAAGAATCTTTTATTGAACAGAAAAATCATGAAATATCTTTAATTGGACAGGAAAAATCATGAAATATCTTTAATTGGACCGAAAAATCCTGAAGTATCTTTGATTGGACAAAACATTATGAAGTATCTTTTAATTAGACAGAAAACTCGTGAAGTATCTTTAATTGGACAGAAAACACATGAGGTATAAGAACTTTGCGTTTTGGCTCTAAATACTACGTCGTGTCGGAAATTGTGATGTTAATGGAACAGAAACTAAGGTATTCTGGATACCATTGTACACTTGTTAATGACAAAGTGATGATGGTTTCCCTTTAATCCTGCATTCATTATTACATAAACAGACAAACTGACTTTTTATCCTTCATATCAATGACATTTCTGAATAAGTACACACATTGACACTGAATAATTCAGACAGTAGAAATCTCGTGATAACCCCATTACCTCTTTGTGATGTACTGCACTGGCCATTTCCTGAAACTGAAACAACTGAAAAACCACTTGGGGAAATTTGGAAATGTACGCGACAAAAAAAAGAAATGCATAATTCTTATGCAATTAATAACTTATGATCGTTGAAAATGTCTGTACAGAACTTTATATCAATATAAAGGAAAGCCTGTCTGACGTCACTTCCGTTGTCATTGGTCTCTTTCGAGTGGGAGATAGCCCGCATCAGTTCCTGGCATCATTTGAACGAAATCTTGCAATTATCCTCTTGTACATGAAATTCATATCGATGTCAAAATGCCACAAGGAGATATTTTCTTCCATCATCACAATTGCTTTACCTCTTTTAATAATAACAATTTGGCGAAACCTTAAGTCTCCTTGAAATGATTAAAACAGTCTGGATTAGCTTAATCAGGTCAAATTTTTGGGAGGCAATGACATCGTCAGGCTAGGCCTTTTATTTTAAGGTAGGTTGTCGTGAAGGATATTTCACAAGTTGTTCTACCGGGGGCTTTTTCGTTCCTACTTATGTCGAGAATATTTTAACAATGGAAGATTGTTTCCTTCAAGTCGTGACGCCAAAAAAGATTACACAGATTTCACGAAACTTGCCATGAATCCATTCACAACCAAGTATCTAACAAAAAGGAGAATGAGGATTATGTAACAAATTTTCTTGAAAAGCTGAATCCAGCCTTCGTACAGCCCGTCTTTCTCCCCTTCGCCTGACATTCTGGTTTTCATCGGGAAGTATGTATGCTCTTGAACCTTTTCAATAGCACCTTTCGCGCCTTTCCAAGCGCCCGGGCCATTTAAGCGCCACTGAACGGGAGTAGCTGGACCAAAATAGATCTTGTACCACAATCTTAGATCCGAGAAGAAATGTTTCCAGAAATTTGGTTTACAGCCGATCATCGTGGCAAGCCTGTCCATGTAAAGGATGGGAAATATCTGAAGACTGTATCTGGGTGAGTTGGTGAAGTTACGGGTGATGAACGCTTTGCGTTTCTCTACAACCTCAAGGCGCTTGGATGCACTCGGTAGATCACACTTCCCAGCAAATACCCTTGTAATACATCTGGCCTGCATTTCTAATATTGGTGGTAGAGCACCAAATGGTTGAACCAGACCTACAACAGCAAGTGTGCATGGACTTAGATTTGTAGGGAACACAAGTTCGTACAGGTACGGGAAATGACCGTCAACTCTGATTATACCATCATCCAGAAATGGAAAGTCGTAGATAAATCCGGTAGCAAGGACGACTACGTCAATGTTCTTTAGATCTGAACCGTCCTCAAATATGGCGCCATCTGGTGTGAACTCCTTCACATTACACTTGATGTTAATAGTACCCAGTAAGATCCTGTTTGGGAGATCGTCGCTGATAGTCAAGACGCTTCCGTCGAAGCGTTTGTTAGGCGAGAGACCGTAGTTTGCATGGTTGTAGCGCCGATTTAGGCGATTGAAAAACATTGGCCGCATAAGGCTCCATGGTAGTTTCATGGAAAACCGGTTGAGGGCGAGATGGTCAAATGGCACTCCGTGGTCAGCAGCTCTCTGGATCACGTATGTTCCGCGACGACTTGACATGTAAACCTGTGCAAACCAAACCGGAATTCAAATCTTAGATAGGCAATTTCAACAACCCGAATGTCTAGATTTGTATTCATCAACGTATTCACCGTATTAAGTCCATTTTGAATCATAATCATACGTAATATTTCTTTCATAAGAATATTTATTTTTATTTTTTTAATTTTCAATATGTACATAAAGATAATGAGTTTGTAATTACAATAAACGACTACAATAACGACGTTTTGCGATGCTTACGTGTTCGGCATGTCGACTCAACTCACAGGCGACGTCCGACCCAGAATTTCCAATCCCCACCACGAGGATTCGCTTTCCTTCATAACCCCGGAAGTCTTTGTAGTCGTGGGTGTGTATGACCTTGCCCTTGAACTTGTCTAGTCCGGCGAATGTTGGCATGTGTGGTGTGTGAAGATGTCCATTACAGACGATAACGAAGTCGGTCTTCACTTTTCGAGTCGTTCCTGTATTTAAGTTCTTGACTAACGTTATCCAGCTCCCAGTGTTTTCAAAATCTTCTGCTTTTTTAACGTTTTCTACGCTATGGTTAAAGTTTATGTACTTCCTCAAACTGAAATTGTCTGCGTAAAGATTGAGGTATTTTTTGAAGTGTTTGTGTCCCATGAAGTTTGGGAACTCCTTAGGAATCGGGAAGTCACTATAACAGGTCATCTCCTTACTGGTGTTGATGCTGCATGAGTTGTAGAGGCTTGGGTCGCCCTCTTTGGACCAGTCGTGATAATTCCACAGTCCGCCAATGTCTGTATCCTTTTCGAAGCATATCGGTTCCATTCCTTCGTCCAGGCAGTGTTTGACAGATGCCAGTCCAGACACACCAGCCCCTATCACAAGCACCGTCTTCGTCATCTAAATAAAAATAAGCCCGAACGTAGCATTACCTATTGGGCAACTGGTAAGTTGAATTTTTAAGAAATATGAAATTAAAAGGGATAATTGATATATTGACTATCTTAATATAATGACTCAAGGAATCAGTGTTTCTCTCTCTTTACTTTGCGAGTTAAACTGAAAGAAGACATGTGTCGAGTTTCATAAACATATTGATAACTGGAAATGGATGTAATAATTTGCTTATCAGAAAGAGATGTAAAGATGATGCAATACATTAGCCGAGATTTTGTCAATTATATTGGCTATAATTGCCATATCAAGACAGCCGAGCTATTACATTATATTACTATGTCAGGAACTAGATTGCTAATACATCAGATGCCCGGGTCTTCTGAATTTCGAGGAGATTCTTAAGTGTTTTAACATATTGGATCCCTATGGCCATGGAATTAGGTGAAGGCGATGTGTGTGATATAGCAATGTCATTGACACCGAGGGATTGTACGGCACGCTGTCCAAGGTTATCCTCTTTATGTACATTGGGACTTATGAAGCCTACGAAGAAGTTCCTTCCTATTTATTTATATGTTAATTTTCTCGATATGATCATTGTGGCAAATTGTCTAATTGCATGACATGAATATATATTGTATATATGAGTATATACAATATTGTTGTACATAGAAATGTATATGGTTTTTTTTTCAATATATACACGGAAATTATAACAAGTTACAGCATTGATAAATATATTATATACACAAGTATTGGGCCCTGTGGAACACTGATATTAACTGGCTTGAATTCGGATGGTACTCCTTGATTAAATCGACTGGGTGTGTACTTTATCACCGAAATTTATAGATTTAAAGTGGAAGGGGATGCATCTGCCTTCACTCTCGTATACTTAACAAAATAAGAATTTTGGCATATTAATCGGAACTTTTAATATTTTCCCGTTTCACTGTTCCGAGTATTTGTTTCCCAAAGTGTTATAGTCCATTTCTGTTTCCATCGATAAAAACAGAGAGATCAAACATAATTTCCTGTGATTTGAATGTCAAGGTACATAACGAAATGCATTTAACAACCATAATGGCAAGTTCTAGTCCTCTATTCAGTTTTCCTGCTGGCTAGAATATGTCTTAACAGCTACTAAATACAATTCATATGGCATTCAATTAACCACGAATAACACGGACATGTTGTTGGAATCATGTTGCTAAGTGGAATGTTAGTGACATTCCTCAATAAATACACCGGATTTTTACGTTTTCACTAAATGCTAAATTTAGTAGTTTTCATCAAAAGTTTTAAATTATAAAAAAAGTAAGAAACATAAAACATAGCTCTGCAATCTTTAATTCGTTGTTGCTATGAACAACAGACGATAACAAAAAAATGATGTTTTGACTAATATCTTGGATTTACTGCCTTTTTGATGTTCCTCTCCCGTGTTTGGAAACTTAAAAAAAAGAACTTATTAAAATACAAACATGAATCGATATAAAGCATGATTATTTAGCAGAAATCAAAAAAAAGTACGGGATTACGTTTAAAATGCATACCTTCAAATATCTTCCAATCCGTGTATTAGGTCCGTGTTTACGCCAGTCACGTACCTGTATACAGGTAACATCTGGTCAAACAGGTTTTATCTCGTTCATATACCCTGATACGAACACAGAGGTCAAAGTTGAAATTACTGGTTACTTACAAAATGGTATAAATGTTGTAGAATTTTGTCATAAACAGGACTAACAAAAACATATTTTCATCGGTTCATTCTGTAGTACACAACATATTTCTAATGCAGTATCTGAGGTTGTAAGCCGCTATTATCCTACCGTAAACATGCTGTATCTGAGGCTGTACACAACCATTATCCTATTGTAAACATGCTGTATCTGAGGCTGTACACAACCATTATCCTACCGTAAACATGCTGTATCTGAGACTGTACACAGCCCGTATCTCTATAAACATGCTGTATCTGAGACTGTACACAGCCCGTATCTCTATAAACATGCTGTATCTGAGGCTGTACACAACCATTATCCTTCCGTAAACATGCTGTATCGGAGGCTGTACACAGCCATTATCCTACCGTAAACATGCTGTATCGGAGGCTGTACACAACCATTATCCTATTGGAAACATACTGTATCTGAGGCTGTACACAGCCATTATCCTACCGTAAACATGCTGTATCTGAGGCTGTACACAACCATTATCCTACCGTAAACATGCTGTATCGGAGGCTGTACACAGCCATTATCCTACCGTAAACATGCTGTATCTGAGGCTGTACACAACCATTATCCTAACGTAAACATACTGTATCTGAGGCTGTACACCACCATTATCCTACCGTAAACATGCTGTATCTGAGGCTGTACACAGCCATTATCCTACCGTAAACATGCTGTATCTGAGGCTGTACACACCTATATCCTACCGTAAACATGCTGTATCTGAGGCTGTACACAACCATTATCCTACCGTAAACATGCTGTATCTGAGGCTGTACACAACCATTATCCTACCGTAAACATGCTGTATCTGAGGCTGTACAAAACCATTATCGTACCGTAAACATGCTGTATATGAGACTGTACACCACCAATATTCTACCGTAAACATGCTGTATCTGAGACTGTACACCACCATTATCCTACCGTAAACATGCTGTATCTGAGACTGTACACCACCATTATCCTACCGTAAACATGCTGTATCTGAGGCTGTACACAACCATTATCCTACCGTAAACATGCTGTATCTGAGACTGTACACCACCAATATCCTACCGTAAACATGCTGTATCTGAGGCTGTACACAACCGTTATCCTACCGTAAACATGCTGTATCTGAGACTGTACACCACCAATATCCTACCGTAAACATGCTGTATCTGAGACTGTACACCACCTATATCCTACCGTAAACATGCTGTATCTGAGGCTGTACACAACCATTATCCTACCGTAAACATGCTGTATCTGAGGCTGTACACAGCCATTATCCTACCGTAAACATGCTGTATCTGAGGCTGTACACAGCCATTATCCTACCGTAAACATGCTGTATCTGAGGCTGTACACAGCCATTATCCTACCGTAAACATGCTGTATCTGAGACTGTACACAACCATTATCCTACCGTAAACATGCTGTATCTGAGGCTGTACAAAACCATTATCCTACCGTAAACTTGCTGTATCTGAGACTGTACACAGCCATTATCTCTATAAACATGCTGTATCTGAGGCTGTACACAGCCATTATCCTACCGTAAACATGCTGTATCTGACGCTGTACACAACCGTTATCCTACCGTAAACATGCTGTATCTGAGGCCTTAACCACCAATATCCTATCGTAAAACCACCAATATCCTACCGTAAACATGCTGTATCTGAGGCTGTACACAACCATTATCCTACCGTAAACATGCTGTATCTGAGGCTGTACACAACCATTATCCTACCGTAAACATGCTGTATCTGAGGCTGTACACAGCCATTATCCTACCGTAAACATACTGTATCTGAGGCTGTACACAGCCATTATCCTACCGTAAACATGCTGTATCGGAGGCTGTACACCACCAATATCCTGCTGTAAACATGCTGTATCTGAGGCTGTACACCACCAATATCCTATCGTAAACATGCTGTATCTGAGGCCTTAACCACCAATATCCTACCGTAAACATGCTGTATCTGAGGCTGTACACCACCATTATCCTATTGGAAACATGTTGTATCGGAGGCTGTACACAACCATTATCCTATTGGAAACATACTGTATCTGAGGCTGTACACAGCCATTATCCTACCGTAAACATGCTGTATCGGAGGCTGTACACAGCCATTATCCTACCGTAAACATGCTGTATCTGAGGCTGTACACAACCGTTATCCTACCGTAAACATGCTGTATCTGAGGCCTTAACCACCAATATCCTATCGTAAACATGCTGTATCTGAGGCTGTACACCACCAATATCCTACCGTAAACATGCTGTATATGAGACTGTACACAGCCCGTATCTCTATAAACATGCTGTATCTGAGGCTGTACACAACCATTATCCTACCGTAAACATGCTGTATCTGAGGCTGTACACAGCCATTATCCTACCGTAAACATGCTGTATCTGAGACTGTACACCACCAATATCCTACCGTAAACATGCTGTATCTGAGACTGTACACCACCAATATCCTACCGTAAACATGCTGTATCGGAGGCTGTACACAACCATTATCCTATTGGAAACATGCTGTATCTGAGGCTGTACAAAACCATTATCCTACCGTAAACTTGCTGTATCTGAGGTTGTACACAGCCATTATCCTACCGTAAACATGCTGTATCTGAGGCTGTACACAGCCAATATCCTACCGTAAACATGCTGTATCTGAGGCCTTAACCACCAATATCCTACCGTAAACATGCTGTATCTGAGGCTGTACACCACCAATATCCTACCGTAAACATGCTGTATCGGAGGCTGTACACAACCATTATCCTATTGGAAACATGCTGTATCTGAGGTTGTACACAGCCATTATCCTACCGTAAACATGCTGTATCTGAGGCTGTACACAGCCGTTATCCTACCGTAAACATGCTGTATTTGAGGCTGTATACAGCCCGTATCTCTATAAACATGCTGTATCTGAGGCTGTACACAACCATTATCCTACCGTAAACATACTGTATCTGAGGCTGTACACCACCATTATCCTACCGTAAACATGCTGTATCTGAGGCTCTACACAGCCATTATCCTACCGTAAACATACTGTATCTGAGGCTCTACACAGCCATTATCCTACCGTAAACATACTGTATCGGAGTCTGTACACAGCCATTATCTCTGTTAACTGTATCACATAAGGGATCTTGGACCTATATTTCGCTAGAAGGAAATTAATTCTTTCGACCTCCGTCTTTTTTTCTCGTTTTATATTTCTTAAACATGTTTGAATTAATATATATATTGTTGTTAGGAGGAAGCGATGGAAGTGAACATGTATACAGACGTATTAGGACATGGTACAAATGGGGTCATGGGTGATGTTCTATATTTAGTGTCCATATATCTGATATTGACCACTCTTGACCTGTCCATAACGAAATAGATAAGATATCACGCACATGATGTTTAGATCGTGTTGAGTTATATATCATTGTTTCATAACAATCAGATCAGAAGGTCAGACTAGGTCTGTTTGATCTACGTTATACAAGAGAATACTTAATATGTAGTACCAGAAGACAATACAAAGACACACATATTAATAGTACACTTTAATAAAACTTAGAATCAGTATGGAGAGGTAATTAGTAAAACTTAAACCAAACTTTTGAAGGCTAGGGGCGTTTGTTGTTTGTTGTTGTTTTACGTGTGTCAGGTTTGGGAAGTGGAGGAAAGCTGGAATTTCCGGAGAAATGAAATCGACCAACGTAGGCCTCAGACTAGCGACCCGACACGCGACCCATAGGTAGAGGGCTAATAATAAAGACGGTCAGATGAAACACTCTGACAGTTCAGTTCCATTCTAACTTAGACTAAGAAAAATCTAAACTGGTCGTGAAAAAGATTTATCTATCGAAATTTCTGTGTTTATTCAGATAAAATATTTATCTTCGTACCACATCGATCCGTCATATGATATGTAGTCATCAGTATCCGCAAGCTTCTGTTATTGACACGTACATTAAAGGGTCAAAAGTATTTCATTTCCAACAGCCCCTATATGTCATCCATATACAAGCACGTCAGCTTGTCACGTTTGGTCAATTATCAGCGATGTTTTTACCAAGTTTACTTATTACGCCTACATTACGGTCAAATTTTGGCTGAAAAGCCCTCATCTTTGTTGTAATATGTATCTCCATACAAGAATCCCTGAACAACATACTCTCAAACATTCTCTTATTCTTTTTACTGGTTTCGTCTTTTTCTGATCAAATACACGTTGATAATACCACGTATTTGGCAGTAACTGTCATCTAACTTTAAACAGCTGGGACAAGAAGTACACAGATTTCAACATTCGTAATTCATTCTATGATGGCCATCGTGTTCATTGTACCTATTGACCAATACAGATATTTTATGACCAACTAAACATTACTTAAATCAGATACCACGACACAATCCACAAAATAGAACGAAATATTTTCCATTCTGCCATCAGCAGATGAGAGTTTGGACATTACATGTAACGTGGATTCTGCAGTAAAGTCGTCAGAAGAACAATAATCGTCCTTGAAATATATTTACGCAATTTATTAAACTTTATCAGTTCAAATATCGCGTTGAATGATGTAATACTGAAATATGCCTGTTTTATCGGTGGAGACACCTACCGACTGTATCAATCTAAAGTTCGACAACCTTCTAAAGTTCGACGATGAGAGGAGAACAGGAGTGTGGCCAAAAATGACGATGAAGCCTTTCTCACGTACTGTCGGAAGTAACGCGGACAGTAAGACCTCTGCTTCAGCGGAAGTGACGACTTCCGAGTTCAGGAAACGGATGAAACAAGCATCAGCAGTTCCGGTTAGTATTTTAGGGAGCATGGCGTTTCCACAATACACTTCATCAACCCTTTCTTTAGAGAAGTCAGCCATTTGTTGACTAAGATCCTGGCCAATTGTATAACTTTCCGGGAATGCTTCCTTCAGAGTGGAAAGGAACATCCCCGTGGAGCATGCCGGGTCATAGAACCTTCCTGTTGTCATGTCAATAGTCTCTAGGAATTGAATAGTGTACTGCTTGAGTCGTTCCTCCCCACAGCTGAGCATGACATCATACGCGTCATCAACCTCCCATCCCTCTGCGGGAGAACATAGTTCCTTGCTATCGGATTCCCTGAGGAGTGGAAATGGACAGATTATCTCAACATAAGAAGAATCGCCTGCCATGATATCAGAAAACAGTTTCAGTTTCTCTGCATTATTTAAAGGGTAATAATGAACATGTACTTCGTTTTCTGTAATGCGTTCATCACAGTATAGACCTAGCAGCATATCTGCAGTCACCAAACTGCAATGGAGTTCTGGAATCTTCCCGGCAATCCAATAATCCGACAGAATTTTCCTTCCAACTAATCTCCGCGAACTCGATAAACCAGATCTCCCAACGTCAAGGAAAAACACACTTTGAGGAAATTCACAGAACCTTTCTATGATACGAGTTAAGTCTCTCTCCACGACAGTGTCCCAAGCAATCATCCTGGCTGGAGCAGTATTGGGCGAAATTTTGTTGTCCTCGTATCTTTGGAGTTCGTTTAGAATTAAAGTCAGACATTTCCTGTCAAATGGTTTGAATGAAGATTTAATCAACGTGTCTTGGAGAAGAATTTTCCCAACACCCCATTTACCAGATGATAGGAGTTTCCTCACTTTGAGAAAGTCTTTCCGGATTTCTGGGTCGTGAATGCTCTTGAAGATACCGTCGTAACTTGTAATGGCGTTCGTTCGGAGATCCGGGCCGTCGGCCATGATGATGGTGAACAAAATAATGTGTCTGTACTGCAGTAATGGTTATCTTAGTGTCGTTGACGGCAGAGTGGAACACCTGAACGTTCTCACAGACCGGGCCGACCGTCTTAAGATACAACGGCATAAATAATCAAAAGGAAAGGACAATGATTTTAAAAAAATAATAATAATAAAATGAAGGTGAAATTTATTGTTCAGTGTATCTAAAACTTTCTATATAGCATGAAAGCCTTAACATTCGTTTAAACATATCATATTTGTATTAGATATACAATGGAATTGGACGCAAATGATCAAACTATGTAATAATGAAAGAACCTACACATACATGTAACATGCTGTACATATTTTTTTTTCAATAGATTTGAATTGAAAGATACGTTTATGTATAATTTGTATTATTTTATCCTGATTTAATTACATACATATAACATTGTAGAAATCAGTGGTATTTATCGAGACTGTTTGCTATTTCATTGGGCAATATTTGTCTTTATTTTCAAAGCAAACCCTTAGCTTTGATTGATGAAAGTCCAGGTTCATAAAGTTTACAAAAAATGTTCATACTCCGATGATTTTTTTTAAGATTGGCCACAAAAGTTAAAATAAAATAACCTTAAAAAGGTCTTCGCATCAAATCCAGAAAGATAGTACGAATGGTATAATTTTTGAGAAATTTTGATTTGAATTAGAACATAACTTTAAACAGAGAAAGGAACATTTGATCATAAGAAACACCTACTTACCATTAGGAATACATTATCATTCACCTCCTTCCAGGAATATTAACGGCACCAGAAAGAGATAGCATACCATATATTCATTTAATGAAGTATGGTAATTATGGATAATGAAACATTATTGTTGTATTAATAAGAATTAAAGACGTAGCAATATTATATAAAAGTTAAATAATTCAAACATACAATTAGTGCCTTGTTGTTTTATTGTATTTTAAGAGTAAAAGCACACCTGTCTGAACTGTCGGTGTATTAACTGCGTCTTTTCGTAATTACCACTCAATAACAGAAAAATAGTGTCAGATGTGAAGACTTTCATGTCTATTTTTCCTCCCATGATGCATCGTTCTTGATGGCTGCCAGAGAGAGAATAATATGCGATAGAGAACGGTCAGACCTCTCAGTCTGAACATTTCTAGAAAGTTATCTCAAAAGATATAATTCTACTATCTCTTGATTAAGATACTTCAATCACAGGAAATGTCTTGTGGAGGGTTGTGTTTCCTCCATTGCAGGAGATGTCTTGTGGAGGGTTGTGGTTCCTCCATTGTAGGACATGTCTTGTGGAGGGTTGTGTTTCCTCCATTGCAGGACATGTCTTGTGGAGGGTTGTGTTTCCTCCATTGCAGGACATGTCTTGTGGAGGGTTGTGTTTCCTCCATTGCAGGACATGTCTTGTGGAGGGTTGTGTTTCCTCCATTGCAGGAGATGTCTTGTGGAGGGTTGTGGTTCCTCCATTGCAGGAGATGTCTTGTGGAGGGCTGTGGTTCCTCCATTGCAGGAGATATCTTGTGGAGGGTTGTGTTTCCTCCATTGCAGGAGATATCTTGTGGAGGGTTGTGGTTACTCCATTGCAGGAGATATCTTGTGGAAGGTTGTGGTTACTCCATTGCAGGACATGTCTTGTGGAGGGTTGTGGTTACTCCATTGCAGGACATGTCTTGTGGAGGGTTGTGGTTCCTCCATTGCAGGAGATATCATGAGGAAGGTTGGAATTCTCTGACCTTGAGATGTTGATATCCTGAGTTGATGATACATAAGATGATGCGTTTGGAGTGTCGGGTTACACTCACAATTCACATCTGTAAACGACTCAGGGACTACGATTTGTTGACCTCGAAGTCAAGGTCAAAATTTGACCACTGGCAAACTATGGCGGTAATCTTGACAATATCAACGAATGATACAGCTATAGACTGTTCTGCATGTCATCGACCAGCATAAAAACACCATTGTCACACCATTTTACCATCAGTTATCACTGATATCGCATTATATGATCTCGTATCTAGAGAACACGTCGGTGGTCGAAAAGTGAAAGTACAAAATGTAAACAAGGCGGTTAATGACTGTTTATTCAAAATTAATCTTCCGCAGGATAATCCATAACGTTCAAAAGTACCATTGCCCTTCATCTGTATATCTAAGACAAGTTCTGAAAAATGGCATTTAAATTGATACCTTCTCTGTCGGAGCACAAAAAGATTATTATTCACAGAGACAATGAATAATGGATTGACTTTAAGTAACGCTTTCGACATTTGTGGATAAAATTCATTGTAATTGACGAGGCAAGACAAAGTAATGTTTACAGTGGACCTGCATATATAACCGACCATGCCAGATATCAGTCAAAATCATGGCTTTCAGATAGGAATTTACATGGTATAAGAAAGGCGACGATGCGGGTCTGTAGCGCGAAGTGTTTATTATTATTATTTCATTCTAAACGGCCCGTCAACACATAAAAGGTCATTAGGGCCATCAAACGGTAAAACAAAAACAAAAAGGAAATAACATCAAACAAACTAAAAGGTAAAAATCTTAGATGGGTCAGAAATGATGGTTTCTTTCTATTTCATGTAATTCAATGTTTATACCAAAGCAGGACAACAGAACAAAATGACTACAGAAAAAATCTATAGAAATAGACAAAGACTATGATATAAGATTCATTGTGGTCCAATCTGTCACGTTTGGTGATCATATCTTAGCTATCCTATAAGCCATTTAACCAACTTTTCCATCGCTGTACGTATAGATTATTGCATGATTTTGAGTAACACGTGATTAATTGCACCTGTACGAAAGCCTATTGGGGTTATTACGTGAAATTATTGGCTATATAATACGGCGTAAGTGCTTCAGAGTATCAGATACTGACTAAAATTGGAGGGTGACAGTGAAGATTTTTGGCAATTTCTGGCGGGAGTTTACCTCAGGTTTGAATGCCAACATCTGGGTAATGGATATCATATAGGTGTAAGGCTAATGCCAATGTGAACTAAACATGTATCAGGTAGATACCGGGAAACGTGATAGTTCTAAGTTCCAGAACATCTTGAAAAAGTATCGTGGAATATATAGATTTTAAGCATACTGTACGTTTCGTTATAATAATCAAACATACATTTTTCATATGATTGGTAATGTCGGGGTAGTTTAAACAACAATGTTGTCGTTATATTTTTATCATAGTAGCGATAAGACAACTAAACGATAATTTTATCCCCAAGAGGATTTGATTCACATCTTGTTCCATTGTATGCTCTTTCTATTGTTTCACACAAGGTTCCAGTTAAAATATCGAGAGGTTTTCCGGGTAATCAATTGCAATGCATGCAATTTTAATTATGTTATGAACATCTTTTAATTTGGCAATTAGGTTTGATTGCCTATAAATTGTCTTTTTAAACTAAGGGGAACGATTAATATCTCCAACGCTATTCTTTGATTTGTCAAAAGGTGTTCAAGCTAGCTATTTCTCAAATGTTTGTTCCAAATATAATCCTCAAATATTACAAAAGAATGATGTTACGTGAAATGTAGTGACTACAGGTTATGCCTATATATTTTTTAAAATTGTTATATCAAGTTTGCCATCGAACTTACAACAAGTTTTTAACACAGTTGTACGATGGATAAATGAACTAAAACATGGCTGTCACATTTCTTTCTAATTGTGCTTGGATTCTTGAGTAGGTTAAGTCAGAGTTAGCTAAACTTGTTAATGAGTAAATTTAAAATATCTTATTTCTTTTTTGGCCTTAAAAAAATCCATTCTATGCATTTAACAGATATTTGTAGGGAGGGTCTTGCGCTTTAGTTCAGTTTATTTTCGTTTTACGTCCTGTTAACAGCCAGGGTCATTTAGGACGTGTCATGGTTGGACGGCGGAGGTAAGCCGAAGTACCCGGATATGAACCACCAACCTGCAGTCAGTACATGGCAACTGTCCCATGTGGCTCTCAAACTCGCGACCCAGTAGTGGAGGCCTAAAGCGGTTAAGACGTACAGTATATTTTTGGCTTGCGCGACTGCCTTCACTTTCACCAGAGGAAAAAACAAGGTACAAAATTGATCAATGGCATTATTTATTATCACCAAATGTAGGTACACTTACCAATTATCAGATATCAACATACGTAATGTATAAAGATATTCTTCATACAGACCAAGCATGACGACGAATAGTGACAAGACGGAAAATCAGCTTGGGATAGACCAAGTTCTAAGTAAAATCCCAATAAGTTGTCGTGCTTCATAATGATACTACATCTGTATTTAAAACTAGCCGACACCCCATATATATATAGTATGGTTTCGCGAAACTAACGCGATTTTAAAAATATTTTCCCCTACGAAAATGACCCTAAAAGGCTTTCGTACACCTGGCTATCTGTCGTGTTGATAAGTCTCGAGACACGAGAAATGATGCGATAACTGACTTACAGCATACTTCTCACATCGAACAAATAAAACGAGGACCCGATAACAGATCACCTTGTCATCCCCTTACAATATAATAGACACAGGGATTATCTTCCTATGAAGATGATTTGTGGATTTTTTAAAACTTAAAATCAGCAAATAAACTTTTATATAGATATCATTGATATTTCAACACAAAATATTTCAAGAGAATGAAAAAATATAGATCCTGGTTAATGGTCAGCATCAGAGAAGGATACAAGGGGGAAATATGTTCTGGAAAAAACAACAGTAACTTGTACATTCTGGTCAGGATTACCATTGTTTTAAGACTCAGGATACTATAATCGTTTTATACACGAGGTATTTTCAGTACAGCATTATTTTCTAAAAAAAAAAAAAAAAATGGTTGACATTTTCATGAAAAGGAAATTTTAAAATAATACTGACGACTGTTTGAAATGTATTGAAATCGAGGCTGTGTAATGACATTGGTTGTGAATCATATGTATTTTATCATAACTAATCACATACTCTCAACTGCTACAA